GGAGGCTGTTAACTGAAACTTCTACTTGCTTGTGAGTACTCCTACTTTTTGTATTTAAATTTCTTTCTATTTAGAATCCCTGCTTCCTGCAAGTTTATTCATAGTACCTGATAAAACAGGTTATCACCCAGAAGACCTTATGCCTCTCTGAACCAGAAAGCTTCTAAGGTGCCACCCTCCCCTGTCTCTGAAGCATCAAGAAAGTTGAAAACCTAATGCAATTTCAATTCCTCAGAATTCAAACTTTTGGAAAAAAAATGCACTTCTGCCAAAAGGAATAACAACACCATGGAGTTGTCTCATTCTGTAACACTAAAGAGCTAGATTTTATATCTTCATCTCTGTAAAGTCCTGGTGCATAATCAAGCGTTGCCCTTTCATACTATCACTACTAATAAGGGGCCTGTTGGCCAACTTAAGTCAGTGACACCTGAGCAAACCCTTTGAAGACTAGTAGGTTTGCAAGGGAGACACTAAAGCAGTAAACCAAAGAAAGTAATGTTTAGGGGGTTTCACTGAGGATTGCAGCAACTCTTTATTTTTTATTTGTGCGATGAAAAGAAAGAGGCAGGGGACGGTTGAGTTTGCAAAGATGCAAGTTTAAAAAAAGAAACAAACAAACACCAAAGTCTTTTCTCACAAACTGAACTATCTGATGATATGGAAGCAGACAATAGATAAAGACCCAGACCTCCACATAGCCATATTTCTTAGATTATCTGTAGGGTAAAACCACACTTTTCATGAGGGCATCACAGCCATATCTTTAAAGGTATTTACATACTTAGCAAAGCAAAGTCGCACATAGTATCATCTTTGTAACAGACAAGGTTCCTTGGGTGAATTTGATATCTTTTATTAGACCAACCCAATCTTTGTAACAATGTTTCAGTAGGTTGTGTGCCCAACTCTCCTTGACTTCAATATGCATTAAGCCATCTGCATCTTTAGAAATCTCAACAGCCTTGAAGATGTGGCCCCTAGTCCTTCGGTTTGCCAAAATAAGCATGCACACATAAACCAAGGTTGAACTGGTGCAGTGCCAACTTCCTCGGCCCCTGCAGACAAGCTGATCCACTCACTGCCTCTTGCTGTTCACAGTTTTGCCAGCCAGCTCTGCTTATAAATTAAGACACCGCTGATCAGTTTTACTAGTGGCATTCACAATGCTGGCCTGGAAACAGTCATGGCAATTCCATGCTCCTGAAGAAGGCTCTGGAGACTGGAATAACTCCCAGAGGAAAATGAATTTTCCCCTCAACCTTCCCACCCATAAAGTGATGCTTAGATAGCGATAACATAAGAAACCCATCTCCATGTATAACCTCACAGTGACCAACAGGCTGAGGTGAGGGGCATACTAGTAAAAGACATCTTGGGCCCCAGAATGGATGACCCTTCCCAACAGATAAAACTTTGGAGGGATTATAAGAGGTGAGAAGGCTCCTTTTTCATTTCAGCAGCTGTATGGATTATTTCTGAAGACAACTACAAGCCAGAGGCTAGCATGAAAGATGGAGCCCTCCTAACATGCACGGAAGAACCCCCGGTACAAAAATTCCAATGCCATCCTGCGTCTCATTACCAGTGTGGCCGAATTTATCACCAGGACTTTGCCCTTGTGCTCCAACAAGCCTCACCCGTATCCTGATCTTGACTGCAATTTCAGCTATTAAGTTAGTTTACTTAATAGGTATTGGGTAAATTGCTCAGGTCCTGCTCAGCAGTAACTCTTCCAGCTACCTAAGGAATTGAGCTAACTGTCCTAGAAAAAAGAGAAGCAAGTTTTGGTGATAGCTTTTCCTGGACCAATGCTATAGTTGGAAGAGATGTTAGACAAGCTTTGAAGGACAAGTGTCTCCTTCAGATTTGGAAACACTGCTTCTTACATTTCCTGGACCATCACAGCTATACCACCACTTCAACCCTAACAGAAAGAAATGGGCAACTATCTGCGATATATTAAGATCCAAGAGATAACACTTTTCCAAAGTATTTACTGAAATAAAGATTATTCCCCTGTGCTAAAAGTGAACAATATTCATACCAGCTGCTACACTCAACCAGCGCTCTAGTTTTTATCAGGAACAGAATTCCTGACTATCTTGAACATACAAGCAGATGATTAGCTCTGTTAGTACTGCTGTGCTCTCCTTCTATGACTCACACAGGACAATACAGGCAGTATTCCATCCAAATGGATTGTGAAGGCAGGTCTTTGAACAAGACTGTCAAGTCACAGTTTCAAAACTGACTTGCATTAGCCTTGTATTTCAAGGCCCTGGCTCAAAACCACTCAAAGATCTCTATTCAAGCTGTCCTTTGGCATAATATTCTGCAGCCGCTTCCTCACTACAGGCATTGTTTACTCTCAAGAAGTGGTTAGTGGGGGAGTCAGTAAGGCCTCTCATTACAAAGACTTATTTAAATACAAGAATAACTCATTTGCTGGTTGACTTCATCACCAAGGACTCCCAGGCCACCACTAACAAATCTACTCATGCACCCTTTAAATGAATCACTTCACATGCTCTGGACTATAAAACCTGCAAAACTGGACTAGCTCAGTTACCCCAAGCATGGATAAACACTCAGGCTACTCTGAAAAGAAGTCATGATGTAATTACTCATTTGAATTTTGGGGTTCCCCTCTGGCAGTCAGAAGCAACATGGCATTAAGGAAACACAAACTAAACAACTGTACATTAGAATCCAGAGTGCCAATGGCTTGGACTGTTATCTTCAGCAACAGAAACAAATGTACAAAATGTACAAAAGTCCAGACAGTAGAACAGAGTTCAGAGAAACATTCTGGCTTGTTCTGTGAAGAAACACATCCAGATCCCTCAAATAGTGTGAACAATATGCTTTCAGTATGAGGCTTCAGAATAATTACAAAAAGTTGACACAAGTGACACATCCCACCTCTTCTTTTCTACATCTTTCAGTACTGACATTCTAAGGATTCTGGAACATTTGACTGCAATTAAATGAGAAACTGTAACTACTCTCTGTCTCCTGGTCTTTGTTCAGAGTACCTGGCCTCTGGCACTGGCAAAATAAATAATATTTCTCTCTTGCAAAATAAATCAGCTAGCAAGACAGTAATTGGATCTAGGCTGACTTCTGAAAGTGCCCATGTCTTCTCTATCTTAGATGGAAAGTTTTCACAGCAAGAAACATGCCTGCAATGTGTTTAAAGGCTGGGTTTTTACCTTCATAGCACAATTTGTAATAAAATCAGCAGGTGAAATTCCTGCACTCTTAGAAATAATTAGGGGGGAAATATTTAAGTTGAAACTGATGCAAGTGAAAGAATTTCAGTTCTCTCTTTCATGCAGTTATCAGAATTTTTTTGGCACATTTCACCTTGGGGAGAGTACATCACTTTATGCCAGTGATTCTCAACCAGGGTGCCATGGCATCCTGGGGTACCTTAAGAGTCTTTCTAGGGTGCTACGGGGTGCCACACAATGCCATCACTGTTAGGTGTGCAAGCATGATTTACAAGATGAACCCAGAATTTTCAAACAAGAATTCATACTTTTAAAACCATTCTGACCTGATGTGGTCTTTCCAAGTTCTTTGCAGCAGCAGAATTGCTCTATTATTTTTCTGTGGTCAAAAAAACAACTGAAAACTAAGAACTGACATTTTCTGAGGGGTGCCTTGTGTTTAAAGAGGTCTTATGCTATAGACGGCTATTATTTCTGATCCCTAAGCTTTGCTAAAACTGAGCCTCACCTTAACTCTGACCATATGCCGTGAAGATGACAAGATTTACCCAAAGAACAGCAAAACTAAGCTGCTATATGAAATGCCTATACTCTAGGACTACATCTACACCAGACATAAATGGGAGCCAGGTAACCAAATATAGATGAAGTCTAATTTTCAAAGCAAAATAAATCCACACAGAGCAGCACAGCATGCCCTTCCCCACCCCACCCAGCCACTCAGAAGTTGGACAGCCCTGACCTAAACAATTTTCAGTCTCTTACTTCAAACATCAGCAATGCTTTGACATTCCAAGAGATGGAGAAAGACAGAGCTAAGTTACACAGATAAGTACCACACTTCTAGCCCAAAATTGCCAACAGAACTCAGATGTGCTGCAGAAACCACAGAATACTGCACAAAATATGCAGCAGTTGCCTTGTGCCAGCTGATGTGCGGGATAGAAAGACAGCCCTCTCAAATGTGCTTTTAAGGAAACAGGAAAAACCTACAGGATACTAACTAAGCCTTTAATCTTAAAGCTTGAAGCCTTTAAGGCATGGCCAAATGCAGAGTTAAAGAATTCTTCTCAAATAATCTAAGACCCCCCCACTATTTCTATTCAGAGGGCTCAGCTATGTTTCAGAGCATGTGTTATAACTGTCAGAAATAAGATAGTACCATACTTGTTCAATTCTAGTCAAGAGAGAGCACCCAGAATGAAAGGTAGGAGTGCAATGCTTGGAAGCTGAACAGGGGTAAATTGTTTATCTAATCACATTAGCCTACACACACATACTTACCCTGTTTGTAGACCCAATAATTTAATAGGCTACTGAGCGCCATGGGTGCAGTTTTTGGAGTCACAGCCCACAGAGTAGGAGGGACTAAGGAAGATTTAAGTCACCTTTAGCCCCCTATATAGAAAGCTATAATCAAGATGGAAATGGCATCCAGTGCTAAGTTCCAGCAGCCTGGTAGTGCCATTAAAAACTGCAGCAGTGACATCTGCAATGGCCCTGTTCCTTCTTTCCCTCTGGCTGGAGTTCAAGGAGATAGTGTCACATACAGCTTGCTCCTTCCTTAGGCAGCTTCTCTGCTTGACATTCTCCCATGACTGGACCTGGAACTTTTACTGTCTCTTACTGCTGCCTAGCAGGAGGGAGAATCCCATGATCTCTGCAAGATTAACACATCCTAAAGAAACACTGCCTAATTCTATACATTTAAGGTTATTAGAGCTACTTGCATTTAGAAAAAACTTAGTGCACTTTTTGCCACTTATAGATGGTACTTACTGCTGAGATGTGAGACTAGATTACTCCATTTTATTTAGTACTACTCAATGTACTAACACAGTGATGTAGTGGTTATGTTTTCAACATCAGAGGGGCACATTTAAAAAATCATACCTTTTTTATTAACATAGCAAGAAAAATATCACGGATAGTTCTGTTCCTATTTCTATTCATTCAAAATCCTCCTGTGATGTTGATGCCTAAAGGCATCTGTTTTAATGGTTAAAAAATATGCAATTTCTCAGTGAAAGAATTTAAAAACAGGACTGAAACCTGAGAAGTAAATAAAACAACCAGAATGAGGAGTGCCCATTTTAAATCTCAACTGGACACTGGGACAGGGAACAAAGGAGTCTGTGACAACATCTACTCTCCAAGCACAGGTACTGTGCTATCCCTTCCCCTACTCAAGGCCCAATTCATCCCTCTGCCTTCTTACTTTTATAGTTCCAGTGGATGCTGGTGACTTGGATCTCCTGAGTAGGAATATATTCCTCAATAAACTTCTTTCCCTGGAGTCGGTGCCAAAGGGTCGTCTTTCCTGTGTTCCTGTCCCCACGGATAACAATTTTCACTGGGGGAGAAAAGCAGATCAAAAAATAAAACAAAACACATTAAAAACAAATCCCAGGTGTAATATTTTGCAAGTGTTATTCCAGTGGAATTAGGCCTTTCATAGATTTCATAGACATTAGGGCTGGAAGGGACCTCAGAAGATCATCAATTCCAGCCCCCTGCCCCAGGGGCAGAAAGTTAGCTAGGGTCAAAGGATCCCAGCAAGATAAGCATCCAAAGGTTTAAGAGTCCAGACTAGGTGCTTGCACCACCTCTGAAGGGAGTCTATTCCAGGCCTTGGGGGCTCGGACAGTAAAGAAGTTTTTCCTTATGTCCAGCCTAAAACGGTCTTGGAGGGGTTTGTGACGGTTGGACCTTGTCACCCATTGGGGCGCTCTGGTGAACAGGTATTCCCCCAGACCCTGATGCACACCCCTTATGTACTTATAGGCTGTCACCAGGTCACCCCTGAGCCTGCGCTTTTCCAGGCTGAAGAGTCCCATGGCTCTCAGCCTCTCTTCATAAGGCCTATTCTCTTGCCCTCTGATCGTGCGCGTGGCTCGCCTCTAGACTCTCTCAAGTTTCTCCACATCCTTCTTGAATTGTGGAGCTCAGAATTGGATGCAGACACAGGCTTTCATGTGACACAGGCTTGATACTTCGCTACAAAAGCTGACCAGCCATCCCTCAGATCAGAGTCAACTATTCAGGGCAGTTAAGAGCTGATGTCAAAAAAATCAAGCCTCCTGAGCCCTGCTCAACTTCACTCATCTAAGTCTGTACTCTGCCTAGCTCTCACCTCAGTGCCCTCATTCACCACCACCCCCATGCTCCCATTTTAACGTTCTTCTATACCCATCTCTAATCTAGCAACTCCACCTTCCTCCCCATCATTCATATTTCTCCTTAGTTGCTTTTCTTCCCTCAAGAAATCATGATTTCCTCAAGCTGCGCACACCACATTCATACAAACTGAAGAACTAGTCTCAGGAGCTTGTCTGTCCAAGGAAGTCACACTAGTTTAAACTGAACGTGAAAATTTAAACCAGTAGTTACACCTGTGGGAGCCATGGGGGGACCGAGGATCGGGAATCCCTGGGAACGCTAGCTGGGGTTGCGGCTGTGATCCCGTGACGGGCAGATGGGTACTCTCTATCACCGGAGCAGAATTAGGCACAGACGGGACACGTATCAGTTAGAAAAACAGAGATGGTTTTACTTGCACTGTAGAGTCGTATACAGCACAGGCAAGAAGTGACTTCACACTTCAATCGTAGTTGCAACAATTCTAATCTCTAGTCGCTAATCGAGGAGCTCTTGTAGACCGGGTAGCTCGGGTCTAACTCGGGCATGCAACACAGAGGATACGTCGTAAGGCTTCGACGACGGGGAGTCGTTGGCAGGTGATCAAACTGCCGAAGTTCCACTCCAGGGGGAATCGCGGAGTTCTCCAACTAGGGCGGAAACGCCCTTAACCTTTTATACGGCTAGCGAGCCAATTGCCAGCCGCCACGTGGGAATAATTTAACATCGGCCAATCGTATTATGCAAATCTGCATATCCTCGGCGGGAACTCTATCCACGCCGGAACTCTTCACCATGCCGAGAATTCCCCTGCCTTACTGTGCCTTGTGCTGGAAAGTTCCACTGTGTCGAGGCACTGATCCAAATCAGCTCTGACAACACCCTGGTTTAAGTTAAATACAAATAAGGCAGTCTTTGGCCAACTAAAACTGCTCCCTCGTCCCCCACATGTATTTGCACTAGTTTAACTAGAGCTGTACAAATATCAATTTAAATTAAATCAGCATGGATCCTCACATGATGAAACCCTGCGTCTCATTTAGTGAGTAAGCTCTGTGGAGTCAGGACCATAATCTTCCTTGATGTTCTTCCAGGGCAGAGCACACCAGTGAGGCTCAGTAAAAGCAATTCAGCCACTTGTTATAAATGGGATTTACTGTGCAAGATACACGAGTGGGAGGCAAACAAGAAATCCTAATGCACTCCAGTGCATTTGCAATAACTGATGGCCAACCACCGTTCTGTTGCAGTGTGTTTGTGTAATATATTTTTTATTCACAACAGGAAAAATAAATCAAGCAAGGAACCTAACCGTGAGTGAAGAAAAAGCCCACTCAGAGCAGCTTGCTGAAAAGCATACTAACAGCATAAGTGGTATTCACAACACCTGCACCTCACAGACCTCAATGAAGTGATCTATGCAATCATGAATGCTGTGCAATTCCCAAAGACTGCCAGCACTTTCAACACTGGAATCTTGTTCCTGTAAAAATCAATTAGCTTTGTTTTCTAAGTTTTGTGCTACGTAGTGCATCATCTTTCAAATCTACTGTCTCCTCTAGTAGTATAAATTGAAACGCAAAACAAAAGCACTGACTTCAACAAGCTCAGAAACATTCAACATATGAAATTAGTTCTTCCCTTGGAAATGGGCAGCTTTTCTTTTCTGACCCACCAAACTGCAATACCTAGTGATTAGCCTTAAATTTTGTCTAGTCTCTTAGGAAAATAAATTAAGGAAAAGGACTGTATTTTTATAAATAAAATAAAATAAAAGCAAATTCCTGATGCATCTAACACAAAGCGAGACAAGTGGAAGACTGCCATTGTTTGGTTTCAAGATATGTTTGTACCATGCACTTAATTCTTCTAAACAACATCCAACATACAAGCAGTCATTAACTGGGTACATTTGTTTTCAATACCTGCTCATTTTTCTAGAGTATATGCTAGGAGCTATTAATGTTTTATGTAATGCAATTGTAAAAGATCAAAACTTTTACAAGTTTTGGGTGGGACTCTTACAAGTCCCCTGGTGGGACAAGTTTTGGGTGGGACTCTTACAAGTCCCCTGGTGGGACTCCACCCATGACTGGACCACTGGGATAGATGGCTATACCCTGTACAGGAGGGATTGTGTAGAGAAAAGGGGCGGGGGTGTAGCTCTCTATGTTAAGGAAAGCTACACGTCCCTGCAAGTCGATATTGGCGACCAGGGTGGATGGCTGGAGACCCTCTGGGTTAAAATCCGTGGGGGACACGGCACAGGGGACACAACGGTGGGAGTCTATTACAGACCTCCCACTCAAAGTCCTGAGCTTGACCAGGAGTTTGCCCAGGAACTGGCTGAGGCAGCTTGCTCCAGGACCATGGTTGTCATGGGTGACTTCAATTACCCGGACATCTCATGGGAGGATCGCTCAGCAAAATCTGGGCGGTCGCAGAGCTTCCTCTGGTGCGTGGATGACCTCTACCTGACTCAAGAAGCCTATGGGCCAACGAGAGGCAAAGCGCTGCTCGACCTGGTACTGGCTACTGGGGATGACCTAGTCAGTGACCTAGTGATCGATGGGAAGCTGGGTGACAGTGACCACGAGCTGATCACCTTCACCATCCGCCGA